TAAACGCAAGCACTGGGAGATAAAGGCGGCTGGGCAGGATTCAGGCCACAAACACCCACTTGTGCGACACGGCGGCCTTAATAGGTGCTCGCTGACAACACTTGCCCCGACAGTCCATTAAAAAAAAAATTCAAACGAGGGATCTTTGTCTTTGTGAGCGTATGGCTTTGCGTGGCGTTATTGGCGACGATGTTTATTCTAGATTCGAAGCTTTCGTGACTGCAAGGATCCATACTCTTTGGTTCTATTGGGTAAAGTCACGGAGGCAAAAAAATAAAATAACAAAAATCACGACGTTTCGGCCACAACACAAGAGCGGCCTTCATCAGGTGAAGGGATCAGACTGTCTCGAGGATCCCTTCACCTGATGAAGGCCGCTTGTGCTGTGGCTGAAACGTCGTGATTTTTTGTTATTTTATTTTTTACCTACGTGACTTTACCCAACAGAACCAAAGACGATGTTTATGACGACGACGACGTCAAGTCCTAATTACGATGACACTTAAAAACGGCGAAAATGGCGGCAACGATCACGAAGGCAACGGGTGGGAATTCGGACCGGGACGACCGCGCGCACAGTGGCCGGAGTCAAGGGTCAAGGAGAGCTGCGTGGCCACTGAAAAAAAAAAGGGAGGGCGTCTGAAAAAAATTCAACGGTGCCAGGGAGACCGAAGTGTGTTCTCTTCCTCCCAGTTCCCCCCCCCCACCCCGCCAACTCGCCCTTGCGGACGGCAATTAATGCGCTTGGCGGACCGTGAATTAATTACGGACAAAAAAACCCTAATTAGCGTGGGGGGGGAGGAGGGGGGGTCGTGCGTGCCGCCCCCAAAATTTGGTTTTAATTGAGCGGCGAAAGAAAGAAGCCGGGCGACTTGCCGTGTGCGCTGTTTGCCAAATATTTTGCCAACCGCGGCTCGTTCACGTCGCCCGCCCCCCCCCCCCCCCCCCCCCCCAATCCCCTCGGCGCGCTCCGACCGCTTGAGCTCGCTCGTCCTAAGCCCTCGCCCTCCCGCTCGCTTGCACGCTGACGACACGAGCAAACCATCGTCACCGTCACCGACCCCTGACGCCTGTATATCTGGATTGCGCGTGTCTCTCTCCGTGCGTTGAACTTTCGTTGCTATCTGACGTCACATTTTACCCAGGCCTATTCCGGGGGTAAGGCCTGGCGAGAGGCCCCGGGTGGGTGTGGAGATACTCACAAGCCCCCCCCCCCCCCCCCCGCCGCTGGGCGCTGTAAAGTTGGAGTTTGTCCCAGTAGACGAGAGGGTCCCCTCAATGAGACTTCGGGTTTCAGAAAGGAAAACTCTTCACTGTTGTTTGTGCCTATGCACCAAACAGCAGTTCAGGAGTATTCGGCCTTCGTGGACATGGCGGGTGCAGTTACTCGACAGAGCGCTGCCTACCGACCCCACAGTCTTCCTGGACGACTTCAATGCTCACGTGGGAAACGATGGAGATACCTGGAGAGGCGTGATTGGGAGGAATGCCCCCCCCCCCACCCCCCACACACACCCTGATCTGAACCCGAACAGTGAGATGTTATTGGAATTCTGCGCTAGTCACGGAACGTCAACAACAAACGCCGTGTTCGAACACAAGGATGCTCATGAGTGTACTTGTTACCTGAGCACTTTGGGCCTAAGGTCAATGATTGACTTTTTAGTCGTATCATCGGACCTAAGGCCGTATGTGCTCTGGACACTCGGGTGAAGAGAGGGGTCAACCGATCACCACCTGGTGGTGAGTTGGATCCGATGCTTAGGGCACCGACCAGATAGACACGGAAGGCCTAGACAAATACTGCGGGTTTCATGGGAACGTCTGGTAGAAGTCTCTGGGTCTTCTGCCGGATGTTCCCATAAAACCCGCACTATTCGTGTGGGCCTTCCGCGTCTAACTGAAAACAAACGCACTCCAGGGGAGGTCGTGGACATTGAGTCCGAGCGAACGATGTTCAGGACCTCGACTGTCGATGCAGCTGTGAAAAGCTGTGGCCTGCAGACAGTTGTTGGTTCTCAAGGCGGCAACCCTAGGACCTGCTGGTGAACACCAGTGGTGAGAGAAGCTGTCAAGTTGAAGGAGGAGGCTTTGCGGGCTATGCTCACAAAAAGGTGTCACGAGTCAAATTGAGAGGTACTGGCTTGCCAAGAGGGCGGCAGCGGTAGCAGTCGCTGAAGCGAAAGCCCCCCGGGGCGTGGGAGGAGTTTGGAGAGGCCGTGGAGAGGGACTACCGGGCAGCCTCAAAGATCTTCTTTGGTTCTTTCGGTAAAGTCACCACATAGAATGAGAATAAAATAATAAATTGATAAAATAAAATAACACAATAATATTCTCACGACGTTTCGGCCACAACACAAGCGGCCTTCATCAGGTGACAGTCTCGTCCCTTCACCTGATGAAGGCCGCTTGTGTTGTGGCCGAAACCTCGTGAGAATATTATTGTGTTATTTTATTTTATCAATTTATTATTTTATTCTCATTCTACGTGACTTTACCAAAAGAACCAAAGAAGATGAATCCTTGCAGTCACGAAAGCTTTAAATCGAAATTTAGCCTCAAAGATGTTCTGGCAAACCATCCGATGCCTTAGGCGGGATCGACGGGACGTGGCCCAGGCTGTGTCTCGGTAAGGGCGGCGGCGTAACATTGAACTCAACGAAGGAGGTAGTCGAGAGGTGGCAGGAACACTCTGAGGAGCTTCTCAACCCGGTGGACATTCACTCCTCTCAGGAGGCAGCCCTGGAAACAGGTGGGAGGGGTGCGGGGGGGGGGGGGGGGTCGGATCCATCGCGGCTGCTTAAGTCGCTGCGGCGGTCGCGGGCCTTCGTAGCGGCAAAACTGTCGGGGCGGACGAGTGTAGGGGTGTCGTGGCTAACACGCCTCTTCAATGTTCCGTGGAAGGCGAGCAACGTACCCCTGGATTGACAAGCTGGGGTCGTGGTGCCCATTTTTAAGAAAGGAAGGGGACCAGAGGGCGTGCTCCAACTGCAGAGGGATCGCACTCCTCAGCGTCCCAGGTAAAGCCGATGCCAGAGTGCTGGAGAGGAGGCTGCGGCTGGTGGCCGCAGCCTCAGATTCAGCAGGAGCAATGCGGATTCCGTCAGGGTCGTGGAATGGACCAGCTCTTCTTCCCTCTCACAGATATTTCAGGGGGTGTCATGGGAGTATGCTTTCGCAGTGGACCGCTGCTTTTGTAGACTTGGACCGTGTTCCCCGGCATGTCTTGTGGGAGGTGCTGCGGGAGTATGCTGTAGCGGTGCCACCTGCGTGTGCTGTCCGGTCCCTCTTATTCCCGGAGTGAGAGCGATGTCCGTATTCTTGGGTGTCAAATGAAAGTCGCTCACTGTGGGTGTTGGACTCCGCCAAGGGTGCGTCTTGTCTCCACTCCTGTTTGTGATTTTCACGGACAGGATATCAGGGCGCAGGCAAGGTGTGGGGAGTATCCAGTATGGGGGGCATGGAGCTGGCATCGCTGCTTTTTGCAGATGTCCTCTTTGCTTCGTCAATCTGTCACCTCCAGCGCGCACTTGAACGGTTTGATGCCGAGTGCGAAGGGGCTGGGATGAGGATCAGCACCTCCAAATTTGAGGTCACGGTTCACTCCCGGGAGACGGTGGTGTGTGCTCTTCAGCTGAAGGGGGGGGGAACAGCTGCCCGTAGCGGAGGAGTTTAAGTGCCACGGGGTCTCCTTCGCGAGCGATGGCAAGTGGGAGCGGGAGATCGGCCGGCAGATCGGCGCGGCATCCGCGGGGACATTGGGCGCCGTGCCGTTCCATGATAGTGAAGCGAGAGCCGAGTTCTTGAACAAAAGCTCTCGCGATTTACAGGTCCATCTACATTGCCACCCTCGCCTATGGTCATGAGCTTGGATGATGACCGATAGGATGAGATCGCGGGTGCAAGGGGCCGAAACGAGGTTTCTCCGCAGGGCTGCCGGGCTCGCTGCCCGTGATCGGGCGAGGAGCTCGGCAATCCGGGAGAGCCTCAGCGTCGAGTCGCCGCTCCTTCGGATCGAGGGGAGCCAGTTGAGGTGGTTCGGGCATCTGGTAAGGATCCTCCTGGAACTCTTCCCGGGCACGTCCCACTGGAAAAAGACCCCGGGGTCGGCCCAGGACACGCTGGCAGGACTATGTCGCTCGGCTGGCCTGGGAACGCCTGGGAATTCGCCAGGAAGAGCTAGAGTCCGTCGTCAGTGATAAGGGAGGTCTGGACCACCCTACTCAACATGCTGCCGCCGCGAGGCTGGCCAGGACAAGTGGATTCGAGAAACGAACAAATACATGTCGACGATCACAAACGGTTGCGTGTATTGTTTGTTATAATATCGGAATGATTTACTGCCCTGGGGAGGTAACAGGAGACACGGGGAGGTGAAGAGACAGATTGGGACGTAGAGGGAGACAAGGGAAGGAGAAGATTAACACAGAGAGAAGGGAGACGTGCGAATAAGGGAGACACGGGGAGGAGGATAGGGACTCCGGATAGTGAAGGGAGAAATGGGGAGAAGAGGGGAGGCACTGGGAGGAAAAGGAACACGTGGAGAGATGGCAGACATGGGGATGAAAAGGGGTGCCGCTATGGCGGGATGTTAACTCCCTCGCCTGGTACGCAGGAGGGTTTGAGCCCGACCCTGACCCCTGCTGCTGTATATTTGGAGTTTGCATGTTCTCCCCGTGGTCGTGTGGATTTTTCTCCGGGTCCTCCGGTTTTTCCCTCATACATTTAGAAACGGGCGTTTAAGAGTTATTTGGCTGTTATAAATTTCCACGTGATAAGCCGCTTCTGAAAAAGAGCTGTACAGCTCACTGATCCTCACCTGGTCAAATAAAAACAGTAAAAAAAAACCAATAGTTTACGAGAATGCGTTGGGAGTTCATGTGACACCATCTTCACTCGTGCTGACAACGGGGGCAACAACAACAACAACACCAACGATCTCGACGACGGTGGCGATGATGATGACGGTGAATGGCGAAACGGCGAATCAAGCCACTCACCTGCCCAGGGGCTCTCGCACTCGTACAGCATCCACTCGTCGGCGCGGAACGGCGCGTGGAACCACAGGGAGTGGTCGAGCGACGCCATGGACCTCATGGGCATGCGCACGTGCGGATGCCACGCCGTGCGCACAAACGAGTAGTCCGAGATGTACGCGGCCACGCAGCGGTGCATGTTCATGTCGCCCTCGCCTGGCAGGATTAAACGCACGCATGCACGCACGCAACAAAAACTTGACGTGCGGCAAGTGCGGCCGTACGACCGCGGCGAGCAACGCGCAGAGACGAGGATTCTCTCACTGGCTCCATGAGCGGGCACCTGTCGAGGCCAGCACGGCGCACGAGGCGTGGTGGTGCCTGGCACGCAGGAGGTCGTGGCGTTCGATCCCGACCCTCTCTCTCTCATCATCATCATCATCATCACGGTGGCTAAGAGATGTTAACTGCCTCGCCTGGTACGCAGGAGGTCGTGGCGTTCGATCCCGACCCTCTCTCTCTCATCATCATCATCACGGTGGCTAAGAGATGTTAACTGCCTCGCCTGGTATGCAGGAGGTCGTGGCGTTCGATCCCGACCCTCTCTCTCTCTCTCATCATCATCATCATCACGGTGGCTAAGAGATGTTAACTACCTCGCCTGGCACGCAGGAGGTCGTGGCGTTCGATCCCGACCCTCTCTCTCTCTCTCATCATCATCACGGTGGCTAAGAGATGTTAACTACCTCGCCTGGCACGCAGGAGGTCGTGGCGTTCGATCCCGACCCTCTCTCTCTCACCATCATCATCATCATCACGGTGGCTAAGAGATGTTAACTGCCTCGCCTGGTACGCAGGAGGTCGTGGCGTTCGATCCCGACCCTCTCTCTCTCATCATCATCATCACGGTGGCTAAGAGATGTTAACTGCCTCGCCTGGTACGCAGGAGGTCATGGCGTTCGATCCCGACCCTCTCTCTCATCATCATCATCATCACGGTGGCTAAGAGATGTTAACTACCTCGCCTGGTATACAGGAGGTCGTGGCGTTCGATCCCAACCCTCTCTCTCATCATCATCATCATCACGGTGGCTAAGAGATGTTAACTACCTCGCCTGGTATACAGGAGGTCGTGGGTTCGATCCCGACCCTCTCTCTCTCATCATCATCATCACGGTGGCTAAGAGATGTTAACTACCTCGCCTGGTATACAAGAGGTCGTGGGTTCGATCCCGACCCTCTCTCTCATCATCATCATCACGGTGGCTAAGAGATGTTAACTACCTCGCCTGGTACGCAGGAGGTCGTGGCGTTCGATCCCGACCCTCTCTCTCTCATCATCATCATCACGGTGGCTAGGAGATGTTAACTACCTCGCCTGGTGTACAGGAGGTCGTGGCGTTCGATCCCGACCCTGACGCCTGGGCTGCTGCTGCTGTATATTTGGAGTTTCTCTCTCTCTCTCATCATCATCATCATCAAGGTGGCTAGGAAATGTTAACTACCTCGCCTGGTGTACAGGAGGTCGTGGGTTCGATCCCGACCCTGACGATGCCTGCTGCTGTATATCTGGATTTTGCGTGTCTCTCTCCGTGCGGTGGCGTGGATTTTTCCCCGGGTCCTCCGGCGTTTCCTTCCACGTTTAAAATCAACATGCATTTAGTGTATTTGGCTGCTATGAATTTCCACGTGATAAGCCACTTCGTTGAGCTATCATTTGTGGTCAGGTTCCTTCTGAAAAAGAGTTATACAGCTCACTGGGCCTTAAATGGTAAACTAAAAATAGTTTATCGTTTTTCCCTCCACATTTAGAAAGATTCACTTGGAGCACTTGGATGCTATAAATTTCCTACATGACAAGCCACTTTGTTGGGCTATCATCTGTGGCCAGGTCGCTTCTGAAAAAGAGTTATACAGCTCACTGGGCCTTAAATGGTAAAGTAAAAATAGTTTTTCGTTTTTCCCTCCACATTTAGAAAGATTCACTTGGAGCACTTGGATGCTATAAATTTCCTACATGACAAGCCACTTTGTTGGGCTATCATCTGTGGCCAGGTCGCTTCTGAAAAAGAGTTATACAGCTCACTGGGCCTTAAATGGTAAAATAAAAATAGTTTTTCGTTTTTCCCTCCACATTTAGAAAGATTCACTTGGAGCACTTGGATGCTATAAATTTCCTACATGACAAGCCACTTTGTTGGGCTATCATCTGTGGCCAGGTCGCTTCTGAAAAAGAGTTATACAGCTCACTGGGTCACTTGGATGCTATAAATTTCCTACATGACAAGCCACTTTGTTGGGCTATCATCTGTGGCCAGGTCGCTTCTAAAAAAACTGCTACACAGCTCAGTGGGCCTTACCTGGTAAAATAAAATAAAAAATGTCAAGTTAGTTTTAGTCGTATAGTAGTCATCGTTACACTGCACCACGCAACCCATTCAAGGATGGGGTTTCGATCTATAACTGCGTTATCTTTTTTTATTTAAAGCTTTCGTGACTGCAGTAATTCATATTCTTAGCTCTTTCGTGACTGCAGTAATTCATATTCTTAGCTCTTTCGGTAAAGTCACGTTGAAGGGAAACAATAAAATATATATAAAACAATAAAAATTCTCACGACGTTTCGACCATAACACACCTGATGACGACCGTTTGTGTTGTGGTCGAAACGTCGTGAGAATTTTTATTGTTTCATATATATTTTATTATTTTATTGTTTCCCTTCAACGTGACTTTACCGAAAGAGCTAAGAATATGCGTTGTCTTTGTCGCTAGCGGCCTCACACGGAAACAAAGCAATGAAACAAGGGCCGGAACTGAAGAGGCCGTTGACCCCCACCACCGACCTATGTGCCCCTTCGCCCGGACCCAGAAGAGCTGCCTGGGCTCGAGGGGGGTGCCGGGAACGTAGTCGATGGGAAGCACGGGACGAATCTCGATGGGAACGTCTTTCGCCAGGATCTTGCTGAGGCCTAGTCGGTGTCGCTCGGACAGCAACGGGTCCCTGGGGGGAAAGAGGGGGGAAAAAAACACACACACACACAAAGCACAAAACACGCAGCACGATCAATGTGGAAGCGGATCGCGAACCAGTAAAAGGCGTCGAACGCTCGTCACAAACAACGTTTGGCCTCGCTGCATCGCAAGCTCTTCGCTCGACGGCAGGACGGGATGGATCGTAGGCAGGGCAGCCTGAACGTTTCAGGCCGGCGCGTGCTCAGTAACGGCAATAAAAGCCACCAAGTGGTGACGTCCATCATACGTAGAAGCCCTTCATCGCCATCATCATCGTCGTCGTCATACTTCTACATCCCATCAGCTCAAGAGCGACGATGGGTACGAATAAACAGAACGGATTTTGCTGGACCGCCCGCTACTACCCAAAGTTTATCCACAGCACACACGTGCACACACACACACAACAACATCAACAACAACCGCCATTCGCCACTAAGTGGCGGTGACGTCACCACGACGCTTGTGCCAGGCTATGTGCACCCTGAGGCCACGTGAAGTGTCACACACACACACACGCGCGCACACACACTCATAAAGCCTCACCGTGGCATTGTTACCGTAAGGCTTCAAGCTGGCACCCACACCAACACACACACCCACGCACTCAGAAAACATCACCGTGCCATCGTTACCTTAACAAATAAAAATAAAAAACTGGATAAACTCTGGACAGACGGGTAGGCGAGGGCAGGCAGCCCGAATGTTTCATGGTCAGCAACACGCGACAGCACACGCGCCCCTCCGGTAACTCGGCACTACACTGGCATCACCGCATGGCCTTGTCGATGAGCTCTGCCCACGTGAGCAGACTCTCGGGGAGCGGCGCCTCGGGCATGCAGCACTGGTGCTCCATGGGGCTCGGCTGGTCCAGCTGGAAGGAGGCCTGGCACACGAAGATGGCGAGGCCGTGCTGCACGGCTCGCACCGAGCGCACCGAGAAACTGCGGCCGTCGCGCACGAGGTCCACCTGGTAGAGAACCGGCACCCGCGGGTCTCCTGCGACGACACCGTGCCAATGCCATCGACGATGACGATGACGACAACAGCAGAAACGACCGCTGGCTGAATACCTAAGTTTTCGTAACTAGTTTTTGGGTGAGCCCCCCCCGGCCGCCACCCCCCCTCCCCCCCGCCCCGCCCCCCCCCCCCCTAGCCCCCCCTAATGATCTATCCAAATTGTTGTCGTGAAACCCTCCACCATCCGACACAGTCAAACAAATTAAATTGTCACGTGGCAAACAAGCGTTTAACGTGCGCCAATTGTTATTGCAACTCACCAGTGATTTGAAGAGCAATCCTCATGACCAATAGCCACTTCAGTTAATGAGCACGTAACGACGCTTCAATTCATCATCGTCACGATCAACCATTACCTATCCACTGCTGGATGAACGGTATGAATGACTGTGTAGGATAGTGCTGTATAGGTCTTCACACGTGTGCAGGTTCTCGGCTCATTGTTGATGTCACACTATGATAAAAAAAATGGTGAAGGCTCTTCATCCAACAGTGAATTGATCATGGCTGACGATGATGATGATTTAATGAGAAAAGGTCTCGCTGAGTTTTGAGACCTTTTCAGGATTGGACCTGGCTACATTGGGAAGGTTTGGCCAATTCATTTTTTAAGGATTGTGTTTGACTTGAAGTGCTTATACAACGTGATGGAGGAGACTCATTAATAATAATAATAACAACAACGGCATTTATTTACGCAGGAAAGCGTCACCGAGTCTCAAGACCCTTTTTGGGAAGGATTCCGCAACATTCGGATGTCTGAAAAGTTTACTTTTTTAAGGAGTGTTTTCGTGTTTCACTTGACGCAGTTAAAGGACACGATGAAAGAGAATGGCGATCATGCTTAAGAATCATCACAAAGGCAACACAATTTAGGAAGGCCAGAAGGCACCACTTCGTCTCAAGACTTGTTCTGAGGATAGGTGGCAAGACTACGCAGACATAGAAAGACAGGAGGAGGACACGCAGGATCACCGCGTCCGTATGAACAAGTGAACCTGGAGGAGCCACTACTTACGATCTAAGGCAAGAAGGAGAAGCGGAGGGAAGGGTAAGAAGAGAGAGAGGAAAGGCAGGCAAAGGAGTATATTGGTTAGGTCATCAAGAGGTTAAGAAATGAGACCCACAGCTTCCTATTATCAGAATTAAGATTCATGTTTACTGGAATCCGATGCGCTATAAAGTTATTTTTCACCGACGTCCGCAAGGTGGTGGTGGTCAGTACGTGGATAACGATCCACAGGTGGATCGCAAAAGATATGTTGTGGATCTCAGGGTAAATTAGAACAAATGCAAACATAAGCACACGAAACATTTCGTTACAGCAAATGATAAGTAAAAACCCTCAACGAAGAATTTATATATTTAAAACATACTTAACGTCTACCTATAGATAGCGCCGGTTCCTGCGTATGTCTAGGGTATGTTACGGGGCCATATCCGTCCGGGAAATTGTTCGTCGGAAGCTTTCTGCTGGATCGCGGAGCCTGTTGAGAACCACCAGAAAGTGGATCACTATGCCAGGTGTGTTGGCCGCTGCCGCTGTATCATAAAGAAATAAATCAACAGGGAAACATACCTCCTTCACATGTTTGTATCCCCCACTTAAAAAAAAAACTAAAAAGTTAATATTTTTTGCACATCCCCATCAGCCAGACGGCAGATCCGAAGTGGATAATTTCAGCGGCATCGGTTCAACACAAGCGAAATTCTCGAACCAATGTCGACATCGACGGTCGACTCGTCTTGTCAGAGCAAAAGGGCTCGCCCGCCACGGCGCCGGTGAGCTGACGGGACGTCTATAGGAGTCGGCGGACTGAGCCGGGCAGCTCTGATTTGAAGGAGCCTGTTTCGGCGCTCGCGCAGCGCGGCGGCGTCGGAGACGCGACTCGCCGCGACGCGCCGCGTCAGGCCCCCGGCCACGCACCTGGACGCACGAAGTAGCAGTGGAGTGAGTGCGCGTGGAGGCCCTTGCCCACCGTGAGCCCGGCCGCCACCAGCGCCTGTCCCACGATCTGCCCGCCAAACAGCGTGTTTGACCGTGGCACCCAGGGATGCGACCCCCTACGCGTGCACACAGACAAAAAAGAGACGCCTTCTTTGGTGCTTTCGGTAAAGTCACCACGTTAGAATGAGAATAAAATGATAAATTGATCAAATGAAATAACGCAATGATAAAATAATCAATTTATGATTTTATTCTCATTCTACGTGGTGGTGACTTTACCGAAAGAACCAAAGAAGATGAATCCTTGCAGTCACGAAAGCTTTAAATCGGAAGAAAAGAGATGTCCCCCCCGGGTGTAGCTTTAACAGGCCGCTGAGGCTAGTGCTGCCGCACGTACGCACGTTTGAACTGCTTTGGCACGGTATGTGTGGCCAACCGTGCAGATCGGGGGCGCGGGGGAAGGACGACAAACTAAACACCAAAAGCGGTGCTAAAAAAATGAGTTTTCAAATCTAGCGAGCCTCTGAAGGCCGGCGGAGGACACGAGGCGGTGGGTTGCTCGCACCACGCCCGGCCGCCTTTGTCTCCCTAGTGGCGATGTTTTTGCACACCGCACCAGGTACTCATTTGAGGCCGAGTTCGAACTAAGGGAGGCCCAGGACCGGTTCAGATGATCGTCACCGGCGTTGGCCGTGAGCGGGAAACAAAACCCGCTTCGCCAGGTTCGTAGCGCAGCGTAGCGCTACCCGCTACACTACCGCTACCCAGTATACAAATACACCAGCATCATGTCGACAAGCTGCCACCATCTCTCACTGTGATGCAGTAGAACGATCCTCTAAGTGGTTCCATCCATCGCTGGACGACCTACTCAATGTAGCTCTTCGTTTCAGGCATTCATTTGGTAAAATTAATTTTCACTTTTGGTCGCTCAGGGCGCCCTCTGCTGCCGAATTTTGTTTTTTTTTTTCCCGTGACCACGTTCAAAATGTACGAAGACCAAGTTTTAACTTTAAACACTGTAGAGGCAAGTGATGTTTGTGAGCACCTATTTAGGCTGTGGTGGCACTTGTGTTAGTGAAGTCTATATCAGTGTGTACGTGTGTCAGTGTGTACGTGTGTCAGTGTGTACGTGTGCACGTGTCTGTGTGTCAGTGTGTCAGTGTGTACATGTGTCTGTGTGTCAGTGTGTCTGTGTGTCAGTGTGTCTGTGTGCACGTGTCTGTGTGTCTGAGTGTCAGTGTGTCTGTGTGTCAGTGTGTCTGTGTGCACGTGTCTGTGTGTCAGTGTGTACGTGTGTCAGTGTGCACGTGTGTCTGTGTGCACGTGTCAGTGTGCACGTGTGTCTGTGTGCACGTGTCTGTGTGTCAGTGTGTACGTGTCAGTGTGTACGTGTCAGTGTGTACGTGTCAGTGTGTCAGTGTACACGTGTGTCAGTGTGTACGTGTGTCTGTGTCAGTGTACACGTGTGTCAGTGCGTTAGTGTGTCTGTGTGTCAGTGTGTCTGTGTGTCTGTGTGCAATGCGCACTGTCCCCAGCATACAGTGACTGTGCCTCAGTGTGGCTTCCGTGGGTCACTGTAGTACAGTACAGTGCACTGTATCCGGTACGATTAAAAACACAAAACATGAACATTTAAACTTCCCCATACACCACAACAACAACATCATCACCACCACCACCAACAACAAAATGTTATCCGCCCCCTTTTTTAATTTGACCTAAAACGCAAAACATTAACATCGCGTGCAGCGCGCGGTTAAAATTCTGCATCTTTAACGCGAACACCAAAACCACCGCGCCCCCCACAACTCGTTAACAAACACTAACATCTTGTTAGCGAATATCAAACTGCGTCCCTTTTGCGTCTCGCCCTACTATTCGGCGGGTGGCAATTCCACGTTAGCGTGGCAGGCGCCGGCAGGTCGTTCCGCGCGCATGGGGGCGAACGCGCAAACGGTACTCGTTTTATCGACCGTGACGACCGCTGGTGATGATGATGGTGATGGTCATCATCATCATCACCGTCAATGTTTGTGGCATTACAAACCATCTCCGATCAGCACGACAGACGGAGAGACGTTGCAACGGCAGGCCCACTCAACGCCGCAAATAAGCACATTATTATGGCAACGCTAACGCCGTTTAACTTTGACATTTAAAAAAAAAACGGTACAAGTTTTAATTTAAAAATAAATGTGACCTGTAAAGGCCCTGGTCGATTTTCTCCAGAGTGAGGACGCTCGTCACCAACACGCTGCGCAGATCCTTCTCCTCCTCCTCCTCCTGCTGCTCTTTAACGTCGGACATGTCGCTCGGCGGTTGCTTCGTCAACACAACGAGATGTTGCCTAGTAATAAACTCTCGTTCTTTATTTCACTTTGTTGTTGTTGTTTAATCACGAGATCGCCCGGTGGCTCTTCTGGACTTTGTCGCCGCCGCCACAGCCGCCTGTCCGCGTCTACGTGAGGCTATGACGTAGGGTCGTGACGTCGCAACAACTACAACAACTACTACAACTATTATAACTACAACAACAATTACTACTACAATTACTACAATAACAATTACTACTACAACAATTACTACTACAATAACAATTACTACTACAGCAATTACTACTACAACAACTACAACAACTACTACTACAACAACTACAACAATTATTACTACAACAATTACTACAATAACAATTACTACTACAACAATTATTACTACAACTACTACTGCAATAACAATTACTACTACAACTACTACAAAAACAATTACTACAATAACAATTACTACAACAACTATTACTACAACAACTACTACTACAATTACTACTACAATAACAATTACTACTACAGCAATTACTACTACAACAACTACTACAACAACTACTACTACAACAACTACAACAATTATTACTACAACAACAATTACTACTACTACAACAATTATTACTACAACAACAATTACTACAACAATTATTACTACAACAACTACTACAACTATTATAACTACAACAACAATTACTACAACAATTACTACAATAACAATTACTACTACAACAATTATTACTACAACTACTACTACAATAACAATTACTACTACAACTACTACAACAACAATTACTACAATAACAGTTACTACAACAACTACTACTACAACTACTACAACAACTCTAGATTTAAAGCTTTCGTGACTGCTAGGATCCATACTCTTTGGTTCTATTGGGTAAAGTCACGTAGGTGAAAATAAAATAACAAAAAATCAACTCCAGCTGTCAATCAACTCCAGCTGTCCATCACCTCCAGCTGTCCATCAACTCCAGCTGTCTATCAACTCCAGCTGTCCATCAACTCCAGCTGCCCATCAACTCCAGCTGTCCATCAACTCCAGCTGTCGATCAACTCCAGCTGTCTATCAACTCCAGCTTTCCATCAACTACAGCTGTCCATCAACTCCAGCTGTCCATCAACTCCAGCTGTCTATCAACTCCAGCTGTCCATCAACTACAGCTGTCTATCAACTCCAGCTGTCCATCAACTCCAGCTGTCTATCAACTCCAGCTGTCCATCAACTCCTGCTGTCAATCAACTCCAGCTGTCCATCAACTCCAGCTGTCCATCAACTCCAGCTGTCCATCAACTCCAGCTGCCCATCAACTCCAGCTGTCTATCAACTCCAGCTGTCCATCACCTCCAGCTGTCCATCAACTCCAGCTGTCTATCAACTCCAGCTGTCCATCAACTCCAGCTGTCCATCAACTCCAGCTGTCCATCAACCCCAGCTCTCCATCAACTACAGCTGTCCATCAACTCCAGCTGCACATCAACTCCAGCTGTCCATCAACTCCAGCTGTCCATCATCTCCAGCTGCACATCAACTCCAGCTGTCCATCAACTCCAGCTGTCCATCAACTCCAGCTGTCCATCAACTCCAGCTGCCCATCAACTCCAGCTGTCTATCAACTCCAGCTGTCCATCACCTCCAGCTGTCCATCAACTCCAGCTGTCTATCAACTCCAGCTGTCCATCAACTCCAGCTGTCCATCAACTCCAGCTGTCCATCAACCCCAGCTCTCCATCAACTACAGCTGTCCATCAACTCCAGCTGCACATCAACTCCAGCTGTCCATCAACTCCAGCTGTCCATCATCTCCAGCTGCACATCAACTCCAGCTGTCCATCAACTCCAGCTGTCTATCAACTCCAGCTGTCCATCAACTACAGCTGTCCATCAACTCCAGCTGCCCAACTGGGAGCTGAGTTGTCTGAGGGGCGGTGAAGCCTCGATAATAATTTGTCTACATTGGCCTTCAAATGAGTTAGCTGGCCCAGTGGTGGACTATCTGTTTGCTTAAACGCGTCAATATTATTATTCCTTGATCGTTTCTGCGTGCGTTAAATATCGGCCGTTCCATCGGATTCCGGGTGGGGGGTGGGGGGTGCGTCTTATAATCCGGTATTCTTCGTCCGGCCCGACCGGCTGACCAGAGACGCAGAGCCACGCCTGCAATGTCGCATTGAGGCGGCCGAGTCGGGAGGAGCCGAGCGGAGTGCGTGGCTGGGGCGAGGGTCTGGGGCGAATGGCTGGGGCACGTTGCGTCCTCGCTAGCCGCTGTGGTCACCCCCTGAGTGGTTCCGGATGGACACACGCGCGCGGGCGCGCAACCACGCAAACTTTTCATTTTCACTTTTAACATCGTGTGCATCAGGTGCACGACATCCGCCCCACGGCCTTTGTGCAGCGCACGCGGTTAGGGTGACGCCCCCCCCCACCCATGAACAGATGGAGAGCGGTGGCGCTGTGGTTAGCGCAGTGGTTAGCTCACCGGTTAGCTCACCGCACCACGAACCCGGCGGCTAGAGTTCGATTCCTGCTCAAACCGGGCCCCCGCCCACCCCGCATAGGTTGACTCGGCCTCGAAGCGAGTACCTGGGCTCAGCGTGTGAACATCGGCACCGCTGGGAAGACAAAGGCGGCCGGGCGTAGTGCTCACCCCCACCACCCACCCCCCACGTTGTGTGGCCGTCATTCGGTGCAGCTCGCTGACCTCAACTAGCCACCAGCAGTCTCTTAAAGGCTATACGAGGAAGGGGGGGGGGGGTGGTCGTTTGTCTTGTAGGATGTTCGTTTAACGCGTATTGCTTTCGCGACCATTATCTATCTCCATATATATAAAAGGCGAAGTTGTGATTGTGTGTGTCTGATCAAAATGTTTAGCGTACTTCCGGACATGCAACAAACTTGAAATTTGCCATGTGGGTACTTTCCAGACTGTACACCATGCAAACATGATTAAAATAGACTTCTGTATATTTTTTTAGGGGGGAGCTCAATAATATATGTATTTTTTGCACGGCAAGTGAGCTGTGACGTCAAATCGGTCACGTGACCCGCGCACGTGGAAGCGTAACGCATTGTAGTGTAGCGGTTAGCGCGCTGTGTGTGTGTATATGTGTGTGTCTGTGTGGAAGCGTAACGCATTGTAGTGTAGTGGTTAGCGCTACGCTGCGCTACGAACCCGGCAACCCGAGTTCGATTCCCGCTCACGGCCACCACCGGTGACGATTATTTGAACCGGTCCTGGGCCTCCCCTAGGTCGACTCAGCCTCAAACGTGTAACTGGTGTGCTGTGTGAACATCGCCACTGGGGAGACAAAGGCGGCCGGGCGTGGTGAATCCAAGTCCCGGGCGAAGCCGGGTAGTGTAAAGCTAGTTAATAATAAAGGGGGGGGGGGGAGGTGGTTGTTAGATCGCATCGTTATAAATGTTGTGTCGTGACCCTTCCACCACTCGACACAGCCGGGAGGGTGGCGAGTTGCTGCTACGGGTGGTTATTCACACGACGCACGCGATTCGGGGTCGCGTCTTGACCTCCCAGAGAGACTCATCGTCGTCCTGAGTTTACCCGCAGTAGGGAGTCGCGTTTAAAGTTCTAACTGAACACAATTTACCGACCACCCAGGACAACAACGTCAACAACATCAACAACAACAACACATCATCATCATGCGATAATTTATTCAGCAAATGATTCGCAAAGAAAAATATGCCGGGGGAAATTAAATGTACGTCTTTTTTTTGTAGGAGGTAACGGCGATTGATGTTAAATGCACCTCTACGCATTACCGCACTTTTTGCGTTCGTAAATGTAACGTCCAACTCGCCACAACAACAACAACAATAAACAACCAACATGGACTATGCACACAGCGACAGTCACACCACACACATCACTCACTAGTAGTAGTGTAGTAGTAGTGTAGTAGTAGAGTAGTAGTGTAGTAGTAGTGTAGTAGTAGAAGAGTAGTAGTGTAGTAGTAGTAGTGTAGTAGTATTGTAGTAGTAGTGTAGTAGTGGTAGTGTAGTAGTAGTGTAGTAGTAGTGTAGTAGTAGTAGAGTTGTAGTAGTGTAGTAGTAGAGTAGTAGTGTAGTAGTAGTGTAGTAGTAGTGTAGTAGTAGAGTAGTAGTGTAGTAGTAGTGTAGTAGTAGTAGCAGTGTAGTAGTAGTAGTGTAGTAGTAGAGTAGTAGTGTAGTAGTAGTGTAGTAGTAGAGTAGTAGTGTAGTAGTAGTGTAGTAGTAGTATCAGTGTAGTAGTAGTAGAGTAGTAGTAGTGTAGTAGTAGTGTAGAAGGTGTAGTAGTAGCAGTGTAGTAGTAGTAGAGTAGTAGTGTAGTAGTAGTGTAGTAGAGTAGTAGTAGTATAGTAGTAGTGTAGTAGTATTGTAGTAGTAGTGTAGTAGTAGTGTAGTAGTAGTAGTGTAGTAATAGTGTAGTAGTAGTAGTGTGTATCTCTCTATGTATCTCTAAGTATGTCTATCTCTGCGCCTATCTCTGTATGTATCTCTGTAATGTATGTATCTCTACGTGTATCTATACATATGTGCGTATCTCTCTATGTATCTCTGTATGTATCTATGCGTGTGAGACAGCTGCTTTACCGAGTAGCGCACACAGTACACACACAGTATCAGTGTAGCAGTAGTGTAGTAGTAGTAGAGTAGTAGTGTAGTGGTAGTAGTAGTGTAGTAGTAGTGTGTGTGTAGCAGTGTAGCACACTGCTACACACACAGTACACACACATTTTCGCCTCACGTCTGACCGCATAGTCGCATGTAGAGTGAATAAAACCCTGCAGAATACAGCGGACTTTGACAAGATATAGGTTAGCCGCAGATACAGCGCAAAATCGCACACACCGAACCCGCATGATGCGAGGGATAACTGTAATTTTCTGCATATATAACCAAGCAGAGCTTAAATAAGCCTCAACTCTTTATCCCAGAGGGCCTTTTAGTGGGATGTTATTGGTCCAGTGGTGGTGCTGGACCCATTTCGAGATCCAAAGTAAACATTATTCCATACCTGTCAACCCCTTATCAGTGCCCCTACCTTATTACAGACCAATTCAGATCTTATTGGTCACCCCGTGCCCCTTATACATCTCAACGTTCATCCTACATAAAAACCACAAAAAACAATTTTGCCCGTATTCAAACGGCTGTACGCCGAATGGACCCGAAAACTCAATGTCCCTGTACAAGAATACTGGGTAAACCGCATGAGCCGACAGGTAGGAGGTTATTCCCTACCCATTCAAATTTAGAACATTTGAGTGAAGTGACAGGAGAGCTATGGGCAAGTGATTGAAAATGTAGCGAGATAAGAGACACGTCCACTAACATAACGATGCGGTGAGATGAGAGATGCAGGCCAGTATTGAGATGGCGGATCAATCAAACTTTTTGTTTGCGCGCGTAAAATTGAGTTTGTCATGCTTATTCTTTGGGTCTTTCGGTACATTCATGTAGATAGGCTCAAAGAAAATAACAAAAAAACGACGTTTTTTCCTCTTCCTGATGACGACCGCTTGTGTTGCGATCGAAACGCAGTAGTGGTTTTTTGTTGTTATTTTATTTGTACCCATCTACGTAGTGACTTTACCGAAAGACCCAAGAAATATGAATCCCTGCAGTCACGAAAGCCTTAAGTCGAGATTTGTCATGCTTCTTTGGATTCTAATCTGACATGTTTTGATGTTCGTTGCACCCGAGCAAGGCCCCCAGCGTCTCTGGGGGCCCTTGCTCTTTTTATTATTATTATTACTACTACACGCTTTTTATTAACTCCGTCTATTGTAGCCTCAAATCTTGTAACTCAATTTTTACCCACTTCCAAATGTGGCATCGACCGCAAACTCGGTATACTTACGTCATACCGATGGCAATTACTATATTCTATCATTAAAACATAAAAAAGTATATATTTTTAAAGCATTTTTTTTATGTTATGGGTCTCATTGTCCCACGCTCAACTCACGTTGGGCTGTAAATCACCACCGGTCCCTTACGTTGTGGGTAAGCTTCGGGCCCACTTCCTACAGTCGTGGACTTCTTCCATTACTAGTACGGTACATTTAATAAAAGCGTGCTTTAAAAAAAAAGTTTTTAAAAAAAAATTAAATATTACTTAATTCCTGCTTTGCTTACGCCCGGCGAACCTGCAACATGTGAGGGCAGTTCCATGTTTTTTTGCCTACTTGTGTAGTCAAATAACAAACTGGAGTTGCTCTGAAGAAACCCCGGGGTTGCGATGGTTATTCAAGCTCAACCGGCAATGTACGGTGCTTGCAATTGGAACGGTGGGACGGACTGCCGCCGCTAAAAGTTCGTGGCGGGGTAGTTTCAGCATCCACGCAACGTCCGCTTGACTGGACAACCGCAGCCGTGCAAAGCGGTATGGGTATTTAAAATTGTGGCAGCACCCCCCCCCCCCCCCCCCCCGGTTTTAAAACTACCAGAAACTATTTAAAGTACAGTAAAACCTTGGATTGCGAGTAACTTGGTCTGCGAGTGTTTTTGCAAGACGAGCAGAAATTGTAAATGAATATTAATTTGATAAACGAGCGAGGGTCTTGCAATACGAGCAGTACGTATGGACGCTTTGTCTGCCGAGCGTCACGTGATCACAACTGATATACGTTGTGCTTTGATGTACGAGTGCTTTGGGTTACAAACACGTTTCCGGAACGAATTATGCTCGCAATCCAAGGATTTACTGTAATTTATTTTTGATTTTAACAGGTGAAGCTCACTGAGCTCCATTTCTCTGTTTCAGAAGCGACCTGGTCACAGATGACAGCATCAACGACCTGGCCTGTCATGCGGGAATTCGTGGCAGCCAAACTCTCTCAACGCGTGATGATGGTGATTCTAAATGTGGAGGGAAAATCCGGAGGTTCCGGAGAAGAATCCACACGTGGCCACGGGTAGAGAGAGAGAGAGGGGGAGACACACCGCAAACTCCAAATATACAGGCATCACGGTTCAGTGCCGGATTATCCTGGGAGCAAGAGTAGCTTATTCTACGGGCCCCGCGCTTTCACAGCTGCACTTGCTCGATTACAATAGTACTATACTGCCTTCAACTTTTATGAACGAATGGGTTTTAAGGTTAGCGATTTGTCGTATTGTCTGGCTGTGTAGCAAATTTTTTAAAAAAATACAATTACATTACTCTGCAAGTGAAGCATTTGTGTGGTTTTTTAAAAAAAATTTAGGGCCCCTTTATAACATTTGCTACAGGCCCCACACTAGCTTAGTCCGGTACTGTCAGGATTGGGATCGAACCCACGACCATCCTGTATACCAGGCGAGGTAGTAAACATCTCATCACCGATATGTTAACATGCCAACGTTGGTTCAACATGCCAACGTTGGTTCAACGTTGGCATGTGGTTGGATAAAAACCCACGACCATCCTGTATACCAGGCGAGGTAGTAAACATCTCGCCACCGATATGTTAACGTGCCAACGTTGGTTCAACGTTGGCACGTGGTTGGATAAAAACCCACGACCATCCTGTATACCAGGCGAGGTAGTAAACATCTCGCCACCGATATGTTAACGTGCCAACGTTGGTTCAACGTTAGCACGTGGTTGGATCAAAACCCACGACCATTCTGTATACCAGGCGAGGTAGTAAACATCTCGTCACCGATATGTTAATGTGCCAACGTTGGTTCAACGTTGGGACCCATGGCCGAACGTTAACCCAACAGTGTGCTGTGGGGTCGCAGCGCTGGCGAGACGCTAGCTCCCTCTGCTGGTTCGGCGGAGGTAGTGGATTAAATCCCGACCCTGAAGATGCCTGTTGCACATTGGGAGTTCACGTGTCTCTCTCTTCTAGATTTGAAGCTTTCGTGACTGCAAGGATCCATACTCTTTGGTTCTATTCGGTAAAGTGACGTAGGTAAAAAAATAAAGTAACAAAAAAAATCACGACGTTTCGGCAACAACACAAGTGGCCTTCATCAGGTGAAGGGACTTGACTGTCCAGAGGACAGCGTTGGAGTGAAGACAGCAAGTCCTTTTTGTTTCCTCCCACACAGCTTAAAGGACGCGACCTGGGCTTGGCTGTCTTCACTCCAACGCTGTCCTCTGGACAGTCCGGTCCCTTCACCTGATCAAGGCCACTTGTGTTGTGGCCGAAACGTCGTGATTTTTTTGTTACTTTCTTTTTTTACCTACGTGACTTTACCGAATAGAACCAAAGAGTGTCTCTCTCTCTCTGTCTCTCTCCCCGCGGTGGTCGCGTGGATTTTTCTCCGGGTCCTCCGGTTTATTCCCCTCCACGTTAAGAATCAACGTGCGTTTCGATCATTTGACTTCCGTAAAACAAAAAAAAATCCCACTTGATAAGTTTGCCATGCGTGGCCAGGTCCCCTCTCAACAAGAGCGCATGGCTCAGTGGGGCTTTACCTGGCAACAAAACAATAATTGGTTCTGCAGAATGAAAATGACCAAGTCACTGAAATTTACAGGAGGATATTGCCATACAGCTTGGCCATGCGTGTCTTTCACGCAGAAGAAGTGTGATCGAGTGGCGTTAAAGGTTTAAAAGTGGATGTCAGTGGGCGCAGACTGATGATGGCGATGGTTTGACTCGCAGATGTACTCACGAGTACTATGCTCCTGGTATTAACGCGTTGCAACTCCCAACGGGAATTATAGAGTTTGACTAACGTCACGTGCTAATATCATCTGGAAGTAAAAGTGCAGGTCAAGCCTTTGGACTCCGTTCAAATTTCACAGCGAGATGTGGTACACACAAGAGCGTGCCATCACGGCATCGGTTACGACTACACTGCACTGATGATCCTAAATGATAGCGACTCCTGTACGCAATTGTCATGCAGAAGGACAGGGCTACACTGTCACTGATGATCCCTAATGATGGTGAACCCATTACAAAGTTACCATGTGGCAGCAAGGGTACACTGTCACTGATGATCCCTAATGATTGTGAAACCATTACACAGTCGTCATATGTGTCTGAATTATCACCGATGATCCCTAATGATTGTGAAACCATTAAACAGTCGTCATGTGTGTCTGCACTGTCACCGATGATCCCTAATGATTGTGAAACCATTACAAAGTTACCATGTGGCAGCAAGGGTACACTGTCACTGATGATCCCTAATGATTGTGAAACCATTAAACAGTCGTCATATGTGGCTGAATTATCACCGATGATCCCCAATGATTGTGAAACCATTACACAGTCGTCATATGTGGCTGCACTATCACCGATGATCCCTAATGATTGTGAAACCATTACACAGTCGTCATACGTGTCTGCACTATCACTGATGATCCCTAATGATTGTGAAACCATTAAAGAGTCGTCATATGTGGCTGAATCATCACCGATGATCCCTAATGATTGAGAAACCATTACACAGTCGTCACGTGTGGCTGCATTATCACCGATGATCCCTAATGTTGTGAAACCATTACACAGTCGTCATGTGTAGCTGAATTATCACCGATGATCCCTAATGATTATGAAACCATTACACAGTCGTCAGAAGTGGCTGAATTATCACTGATGATCCCTAATGATTGTGAAACCATTACACAGTCTTCATGTGTGTCTGCCCTATCACCGATAATCCCTAATGATTGTGAAACCATTACACAGTCGTCATACGTGTCTGAATTATCACCGATGATCCCCAATGATTGTGAAACCATTACACAGTCTTCATGTGTGTCTGAATTATCACCGATGATCCCTAATGATTGTGAAACCATTACACAGTCGTCATGTGTGTCTGCACTGTCACCGATGATCCCCAATGATGACGACTTCTTATCCAATTGCCATGAAGAATAACAGGGCCTACACGATCACGAACGAGTTCTCGTGATTCCGAATCCTGTACCCAATTGCCACGCAAGCCGACAGGACCATGCCACACTGACGATACTCGACAATGGTGAAACTCCACGTGGTTGTCATGTTGCGAAGGACGGCACGATCACTGATGAGCCCAAATGCAAGCGAAACCAGTTTACAGTTAGAACGACCACACGTTCACCACGTTTGATATTTCAAGCGCCTTGCCCATTCTGGGCTCTCGTGCGTGAACACAAATGGCATGACGAAATTAAAATCGATAATGTTTTTTTTGGTAGTTAACTCTTTTTATATTCCCGATATAAGTGAAGAAATATTAAGTTTAAAAGGGTTATCGATGCTGTTTGTTTTGCTCAAATGGACACTTCTAGGTGGTGCGCATCTCCTGTTGTTTTACAGCCCCAAGCCAGTGGTGGGAATCCCACATTTCCACGGGGAAATTACTTCTTACGCCCACCAAACCGGTACCTCGTTTTATCGACCCTAGAGGGCTGATGGGCCGAGTCAGCCCCCGTAACTCTCCATCTCAGGCTCGCACTGCCGCTGAGACACCTGACCAGTCAAATAACAATTATAATAAGTATAACGATGATCAATTTTTTTGGCATTATCAATCCACTGCTGGATGAAGGCCTCCCCACGCCGCGTCGTTTGTGATGGCCCTTTGACCATACTTCACCACACCGGTCAGCACGGGGGTTGGTGTAAGGTGAGCTTGGAGCCCAGGAATCAAAACTCGGGTTGCCAAATCGGCGGCGGAGCGCGCTAACCGCCGTGCCTGCCCCCACGCTGCCCCTGTCGGGGGGGGGGGGCCCATTTGACCATACTTCACCGCGCCGGTGCGTGCGGGTCGGCGAAGGGAGCGCATAAGTAGAGTCCAGTGATGGCACTGTCGTGTCTGTACCGCGCGACGTCGCTCAGCAGGTGTCATCTCGTTAACGTCACGTGTCTGACGGCGGAATTCCACCCCGTCCACCGCGAAAGACTCTACCGCACGAGGGGTTCATTGGAGCATGACGCTGGAGAGAAATGGCCGCAGGCTCTGGATTACACGTAGCACCCTTCCCCTGCGCGCCCGCCGGCACTCGTATATTAAAGCAAACATTCTGAGCGTGCCCTATAATCCGGTAGGCAGGTGTGAGGTGTGTGCGCGTGTGTGTGCGTGTGTGGGCGCACGCTAGCGGCACTTGTGAGGAGCGGTGGTGCAGCGGTTAAGGAACCCGGCGACCCGGGGTGCGATTCCCGCTCACGGCCACAAACACACCCGGTGACGATTATCTGGAGCCGGTGCCGGGCCTCTCCTAGGTCGACACAGCCTCAGATCGAGTTCCTGGTGCGCTGCGTTAAACATTGGCAAGGAGGGGAGACAAAGGCGGCCGGGCGTGCTGCTCGGCCACCCACCCACTCCCTCGTATGCCGTGCCCGCTAAACAGCACTCGCCCCAAGCAGTCTGTTACAGGCAATGTGTCTCGGTCCGTGCGTGTCCTGATTTGCGTGCAAGTTCGTGGCCCGGGTTCGCGCGCCTCACCGTCCGGAGCGTCTCATAAACTCCCGCAGGCTACGGTAACGTTCAACGCAATCTTGTGAATACTGCCTCGCAGAGATGGGCGTACGTTCCTCCGGCAAGCGATGAACTCGCTCGGCAAGCGATAGCGCCAACATCACGCGAAGCAGTCATCGTCGTCATCGTCGTCGTCGTCATCGTCATCATCGTCGTCAACAAGCCATGATCTATCCACTGCCGGATGAAGGCCGCCGCCGCCACACACGGTCGCCTGGCCTCGTGGTCCGTTTGCCGGCCAACATCAGTGGGCCTCCTGCGCTTGGGGGCGAACTCATTTGCTCCGTCACCGCAGCGCTCGTCCTCCGGTGCACGTCGTGAAATAACAATTCAGCGGTAGTAGTCACAATAACAACAATAACAACAACAATAACAATGATATCTCGAAGAGCGCTCGCAAATTACATCCCGACGTTCAAATCCAGAGACCGATTATGATTTGGGAGGGGTGGTCGATGGGGGGGGGGGGGGGTGTGGGTGGGGGTCGACACTTCCTCGACTTCTAATTCTATTCTCTCACGGTCCCAACAACGCTCACCACGCCGACGGGTGTCGCGGCGGCTTCGTCAATGACCGATAGCAAGTGAGGGTGGGTGGGTGGTGGTGGTGGGTGGTAGTGTGGGGAGAGCCAGAGCCAACTCGACGATGGGCAGGAGAAGCGAGGTCAAGAGGTCAAGGCGGCGTCTATCCGTCGGAGGATGGCGGAGTGACCCATCCATATTTCTCGTGGGTCTTCACGAGGCTACGGAACGTCGCCTGTGCCTCCTTTCTCGTGAACGCCTTTTTCTTGCGGCTGATTCGCCCCTGTGAGGCGGGGGGTGGGTGGGTGGGTGGGTTGGTGGGGGGGTGGGTGGCGAAACAAGGAAGAACAATCACGCACGCGCACGGCACACCTAAACTACTGATCTCAACACGTTTTTAGTTTTTATTTTATTTTACGAGCTAAGGCCCACTGAGCTATACGCGGCTCTTTTTTAACCCATAAGCGACCTGGCCACAGCCGACAGCCCCGACGAAGTGGCTTGTCGTCATCACGTGTAGATTTACAGCAGTCAAACACTCGAAACGAGTGACGTTCACTCGAGATGTGGTGTGGTGGGAACAACCCTAGGACCTGGAGGAAGTCAAAAAAACAACTCCCACACGCATTAAAATAAAACACTTCTGCAAGACTCTACATCTCCACACACTTGCCTTCCCGTAAAATCTAAAGGAGATTTTTTTCGTGTTATTTAAAAAAAAAAACCCACAAAAGCACACACACACACAGACGTACAGTTTTCCTCACTTGTTATTTTCTTTACCACTTAATGTCTCCTCGCGTCGCGCGCGGTTGTAATTCACTGTGCTCTGTCGCCGTGAGTCGCGCTACTGGGAACCCTTGAAAGATAAAAGGAGCTTTATAGCTCATCGGATTCCTTCTGCAGTCGACGTGAATATTCTCATTCCATTCTGATTGTGCGATGCCTCTACCGCATTGAGGGGCGATTATCGGCGGGTAAAATATCGACGAGTGGTTGACCGATTGAACAGATCAATCCTACCTCGTCACACCGCGCCACTCCTCATCCTCGTCACACCGTGATCATCCTCCTCGTCACACCGTGCTCATCATCACCCTCATCATACCGTGATCATCCTCCTCGTCACACCGTGATCATCCTCCTCGTCACACCGTGCTCCTCCTCGTCACACCGTGCTCTTCATCATCCTCGTCACACCGTGCTCCTCATCATCATCCTCGTCACACCGTGATCATCCTCGTCGTCACACCGTGCTCTTCATCATCCTCCTCGTCACACCGTGCTCCTCATCATCCTCGTCACACCGTGCTCCTCATCCTCCTCGTCACACCGTGCTCCTCATCATCATCCTCGTCACACCGTGATCATCCTCCTCGTCACACCGTGCTCCTCATCCTCCTCGTCACACCGTGCTCCTCATCCTCCTCGTCACACCGTGCTCCTCATCATCCTCGTCACACCGTGCTCCTCATCATCCTCGTCACACCCGCACTCGCGCACGCCTCATCCTGACCCCCAGCACCGCGGAGAGAATTTTCCGTTTCCCACGACAACGGTCGGAGCGTCACGGTGACGTCACTCGTCACGGTGACGTCACTCGTCACGGTGACGTCACTCGCCACGGCGACGTCACGGGCGGCGCTGCCACGTGGCATGCCGCGTGCCCGCGCGCGTCATCTCTGACGAACGTGTGGAGTGTTGAGTTGCGTGTGCTGATGTACACGTGCGTGTGAGTGATAATAAATTGTACCTTATATTCTTGGTTCTTTCGGTAAAGTCACCACCACGTAGAAGGGAAACAATAAAATAATAAAATATATAAAACAATAAAATTCTCACGACGTTTCGACTGCAACACAAGCAATCATCATCAGGTGTGAAAACCACAGCAAGAAAATTTTCTTTGAAACAACAAGAAAATTTTATTTGAAGAAATTATTGTTGTGATTTTCACACCTGATGATGATTGCTTGTGTTGCAGTCGAAACGTCGTGAGAATTTTATTGTTTTATATATTTTTATTATTTTATTGTTTCCCTTCTACGTGGTGACTTTACCGAAGAACCAAGAATATGAATCCTCGCAGTCACGAAAGCTTTAAATCCAAATTTAAATTGTGCCTTATTAATTTATCTAACACAGGCACAAACATGTACATTATAGGACTTCAACAGTTATCAGGAATACGTCTTCAAGTGAAGACGACTGCTTGTGTTGCGATCGAAACGTGATATTATTATTTGTATTATTCTTTTCAATCTACGTGGCTTTACCGAAAGACCCAAAGAACATTCAATTGTAAAAAAAAATTACATTTACAATCCGCATATTTAGCAATATAGCTTTTGTGTGTGTGTGTAAGTGCGTGTGTGTCGTGGGGAGCGGTGGTGTAGCGGTTAGCACGCTGCGCTATGAACCTGGCGACCCGGGTTCGATTCCCGCTCACGGCCTCGGTCCTGGGGCCTCCCCTAGGTCGACTCAACCTCGAATGAGTACCTGGTGGGGTGTGTAAACATCGCCACTGGGGAGACAAAGGCGGTCGGGCGTGGTGCTGCCGTGTCGGCCTTCACAGGTGCTGCTCGCTAACAGCACTTGCCCCTACAGTCTGTTAAGGCTATACGGGGGTGGGGGGGTCTTTGTCTTTGTGTGGAGGCGCAGTGACTAACGATATGAACCCTGCGACCCGATTGTCACGACAGAGAGGACTCGTAAAAAAAACACATCAATGGCACCACCATCATCCTTCATAGTCATCTCCACAACCACTCTCACTATGCGAACCACACCCACCACCACCACCACCACCTCTATCATCATCAATATCTCCTGAAACAACTACAACAGCCTCATGGGTGTTTAGTTTGTTGTCTTTCCCCCGCACCTCCGATTGGCACGGTTGTTGCTACGTACGGTGCGAAAGAAATTCAACATACACGCGTGCAATCGTCGTTAGAAGCATTCCATGATGCTCCACGCACTTGCGACAAGATGACTTAGCTCATAACGGACTGCGGGGTTTGCTCGTTGTAATGCACAGCAGAGGAATAAATGCAATTTTTTTTTTGTTCAAGGCAACATAAGGCGCACTCACATGCGTATTCACAAAAGGGTACGAACAGTTTACAAGTCCATTGGGCCTGATCGCCTCGCCAGGCCAAAATATCACGCGACAGAATTTTGATCAATCAACCTTCCTCTGGACGTTACATTTTGATTGTTACCCAGCGAGCTACACGTGGGCTCTTCTTCAGAAATCGACCTGGCCATCACAAACGATGACTCGACGAAGCGGTTTTAGTCTCGTCGTGTGGAAGTGTGTAGCAGCAGCAGCAGCAGCCCAATATTGGAAACTTGCGATGCTGATTCTAAATGTGGAGGGGAAACACAGGAGGGACCCGGAGAACAATCCACGCGACCACGGTGGAGAGAGAGACACCGCAAACCCCAAATATACAGCAGCAGGCGTCATGGTCGGGATCGAACCCACGACCTCCTGTCTACCAGGCGAGGTAAACATCTCATTGCCACCCTGATGATGATGATGAGAGAGAGACGCAGACTCCAAATATACAGCAGCAGGCATCAGTGTCGGGATCGAACCCACGACCTCCTGTGTACCAGGCGAGGTAGTTAACATCTCATAGCCACTGTGATGATGATGAGAGAGATACACAGACTCCAAATATACAGCAGCAGGCGTCAGGGTCGGGATCGAACCCACGACCTCCTGTGTACCAGGCGAGGTAGTTAACATCTCATAGCCACCCTGATGATGATGAGAGCGAGAGACACGCAAACTCCAAATATACAGCAGCAGGCATCAGTGTCGGGATCGAACCCACGACCTCCTGTGTACCAGGCGAGGTAGTTAACATCTCCTAGCCACCGCAGCGCCCTGGTTCTCATCAGCACGATATGGCTTATTAAGCAAATGTGACAATCACCCCGATACGGTATTTTAATTCCCAAGAGCTTGTATTTTATCCAAATTAAGCACGGAAACCCAATTGAACGTGTCGGGGGGCATGTTTATTTTCTCTCTCTCTCCCTCCCTCTCTCTCTGTGCATTGATGACCAGACTAAAACCATCAACTCAGGCGACTCGAGGATACAGGCTGAAGCCTGGAGTCGAACCCAGGTTCTCGGCGGTGCCAGCTTCGGAGTCTCTGACCTGTGAGCCACGTGGCCACTTCGGGTTCAGTGGGCTCTTAACTCGTTTTCAGATTGTTTATTTCCACTGGAGGAATCCGATGACCCACAAAGATCTTTAATACATGAAGGTCATCTACATCTCTTTCATCACCTCCAACAAAAGAGATAATGACCACCCGTATAGTGTTAACAGACTGTAGGGGCAAGTGCCGTTCGCGAGTAGTTACCCATGAAGGCCGGAACGGCACACGAAGGGGGGGGGGGGGGGTGGGTGGCCAGCACCACGCCCGGCCGCCTTTGTCTCCCCAGTGACGACGTTTAGACACCGCACCAGCTGCTCATTTGAGGCCGAGTCGACCTACGGGAGGCTCAGGACCGGTTCAAATCATTGTCACCGGCGTTGGCCGTGAGCGGCGGGAATCAGTGCCAGACTAAGCTAGTGCGTGGCCTGTAGCACATGTTATGAATATTAAAACACGTAAAACATTTAATTTAATTTTGTAAAGTAATCGTGTTTTTTTCATTCGCTATTCAGCCGGATAGTACGACAAACCTCTAACCTTAAACACCCAGCCGTTCATAAAAGTTGAAGGCGGTATTGACGACTATAATGAGCCAAGAATGTCTGTGTGTCTCGCGCGTGACGTCACTCCACGTCGACCAGCCCCCCTCACTAATAATCATGAACAAGTGACGTCACTCCACGTCGACCAGCCCCCCTCATTAATAATCATGAACAAGTGACGTCACTCCACGTCGACCAGCCCCCCTCATTAATAATCATGAACAGGTGACGTCACTCCACGTGGAGCACCCCCCCTCATTAATAATCATGAGCAGGTGACGTCACTCCACGTGGACACCCCCACCATTTATATTAATTAGCTGGTGATATCACTACACATGCAGCACCCCCCTAATTAATATTCATTAGCGGGTGACGTCACTCCACATGGGGGGGCGAGGCGCCTCCTCCCCCCTCTTCAGCGTCAACTCACAACCCTCGCTACAAAGGCAGAACCCTCATCACGTCATCACGTGATCTCCGTGACTGCTGTTGTTGAGACATCAAAGTAAAAAGGACGTCACGATGAACGAGGGATTATAAACCTTTACATGAAATAGCTCCGTGTCACCGCGCCCTTACCACTTGCCACACGAATTAATGCGAGGAATATCACGTCGAGGTACGTGGACGGGCAAAAGGCTCGAACATAGTGATGGAGCAAGTGCGGAATCACTGAACCGGAGTTGATCGCTTGAAAGCGTTTAGCGCGGGGCCCTTGAAAGTGCGGGGCCCGTAGTTACTACTACATATGTAGTACTACATATGTAGCAGCTACTACATATATGTAGTAGTAGCTACTACATGTGTAGCTACTACTACATGTGTAACTACTACATGTGTAGCTACTACTACATGTGTAACTACTACATGTGTAGCTACTACTACATGTGTGTAGCTACTACTACGTGTATGTAGCTACTGCTACATGTGTAGCTACTACATGTGTAGCTACTACTTATGTAGCTACTACATATGTAGCTACTACATGTGTAGCCACTACTACATGTGTAGCTACTACTACATGTGTGTAGCTACTACATGTGTAGCTACTACATGTGTAGCTACTACTACATGTGTAGCTACTACATGTGTAGCTACTACTACATATGTAACTACTACATGTGTAGCTACTACTTGTGCAGCTACTACTACTTGTGTAGCTACTACTACACGTGCAGCTACTACTACATATGCAGCTACTACACGTGTAGCTACTACTACATGTGTAACTACTACATGTGTAGCTACTACTACATGTGTAGCTACTACATGTGTAGCTACTACTACATATGTAGCTACTACTACATGTGTAGCTACTACTACTACATGTGTAGCTACTACTACATGTGTAGCTACTACATGTGTAGCTACTACATGTGTAGTAATTACTACATGTGTGTAGCTACTACATGTGTAGCTACTACATGTGTAACTACTACATGTGTAGTAGTTACTACATGTGTGTAGCTACTACATATGTAGCTACTACATGTGTAGCTACTACTACATGTGTAGCTACTCACTACATGTGTAGTAGTAGATACCTTTGCTACGAGGATGATCCGACCCTGGCAGGAATCTAACTCGGGTCGCTGGATCTTAGCGCAGCGCGCTAACCACCGCGCCACCGCCACTTCGTGAAATCCCACCACCAAACCTTTACAGCTGTAAACCTTTTCGTTTGTTGTTTTGGTCGTTTTCATCATTCGAAATGTGCGATCTGCGTCATGAATCGCGGCGTCCATTTGGACGGTCGCAGAGCAGTGCTGCCCTTCCCCGTGCTAGAGAACGGTCTGCAGAAGAAGATAACACAGAACTACATCTGTGATGCCTTCAAGTGTCACCTCTTATGCACACCACCGTCGCCACCAAAATAAAAATACAAATATCTCCTGTATAGCCTGTCACAGACTGTTGGGGCAAGTGCTGTTAGCGAGCACCTATGGATGCCGGCACTGTGGCACACGAGGGGGTGGGTGGCCAGCATCCACGCCCGGCCGCCTTTGTCTCCCCAGTGGTCATGTCTGCACACCGCACCAGGTACTCAATTAAGGCTGAGTCGACCTAGGAGAGGCCCGGGACCGGTTCAGATAATCGTCACTGGTGGTGTTCGTGGTTCGTGAGCGGGAATCGAACTGGGGTCGCCAGGTTCCCAGCGCAGAGGCTACACTGACACTCACCCACAGTGCACCACCAACAATCGCCATTCGCCACTAAGTGACGCCTGTGCCAGGCTAGGTGCGCCACGAGGCCACGCGAAGTGTCGAACGCCCGTCGGCAGGAGGTCACGGGGCAGACCCAGCAGGTGCCACCGGTCGACTGACTGAGATGACTGGCAGATGAATTGCACCACCTCCACGCGAACCACAACCACGAACACCACCCACCACAACCACCACCTACCACCACTTCTCACTACCACCACCACCCACCACAACCCCCCACCACCTCCCACCACCACCACTTCTCACTACCACCACCACCCACCAACACCCACCACCTCCACCCGAACGACCACCACCACCACCCACCACCACCTCCCACCACCACCACCACCACCTCCCACCACCACCAGCTCCCACCACCACCCACCACAACCTCCCACCACCTCCTACCACCACCACTTCTCACTACCACCACCACCACCACCTCCCACCACCACCACCACCACCACCTCCCACCACCACCACTTCTCACTACCACTACCACCCACCACAACCACCCACCACCTCACCACCCACCACCACCACCACCTCCCACCACCACTCACGACCTCCACCCGAAACCACCTCACCACCCACCACCGACCTCCACCCACCCACACCCCCCCCCCACACCTGGCCCGTCACGAGGCTGGCGGCGAACTGTCGCACGAGCGCCTCCACGGTGTAGGCGCTCGACCACCCCTTGGGGGTGAGCAGCTCCATGCAGATGGCGCCTCCGTCGAGAACGAACCCGTTGTCGATGCGCGGGTTCAGCACGCGCATGAAGGGCGGCGAGAAGGGGAAGTTCTCGGGGAAGGTCAGGTTGAGGAGGACGCCGTCGGCGCCCGCCTCGCGCATGTCCTGCCAGAGCGCCGACTCGAGGTCTATCTGCCGCAGCGTGACGTTCCACTCGAAGAGGCTCTCCCCCACGAGCTCCACGCTCAGGACCTCGTGGCCCAGGCGGCTCAGCTCGGACAGCTCCTTCATGAGGCGGCGCGCGCGCACCTGGCGGCACTGCGTGGAGCTCGCGGGAGCGGGCGGGTGCTGCTGATGATGATGGTGGTGCTGATGATGGTGCTGATGATGCTGATGATGATGATGCTGTTGCTGCTGATTATGCTGCTGCTGCTGATGATGATGTCGCTGATCGTGATTTTGCTGCTGCTGCTGCTGCTGTTTCTTGGTGTCCGAGGCGCTGTCCTTGGTACCCGAAGCGTTCAGAACCCCCGCGAGATGCTGCTGCTGATGCTGCTGATGCTGCTGTGCCCCGCCACCGCCGCCGCTGCTGCTGCTGCTGCTGCTCGCCCTCAACACGTCCAGGCTGACCGTGCCTTTCCTGGACACCTGCGGACTGAGTGTCACGACGGGCGGACGCAAGCGACTGAAGCCGATTTTGCGCAGGAGGGTGGCCATTTTCGTTAAACCCAAACACGTCTGTGTGTGTGTGTATATGACGGATTAAAAAAAAAATTGAATGCCAGTGCTGCTGTACGCCGCTCGCGCGTGTTGTGAACGTGCGCGTGAACGTGCGTGTGAACGTGCGCGTGAACGTGCGTGTGAACGTGCGTGTGAACGTGCGCGTGAACGTGCGCGTGAACGTGCGCGTGTGTGCTTCGTTGTCCTTGCAGGTGTCCAGGGCGCGCCGTGTGGATTAAATTTTGGGGGCGCGCATCTTGAATAATGGAGGGAGCGAGCGGGCGGGCGGGCGTCACTGAATGTTGCAGCGATGGCGACCCCACGCGGAGCTCAGCGACAACACACAGACCCCTCCTTCCTCCTCCTCCTCCCACCCACCCACCACCACACATCTCACTCCCACCCACCACCGCCTCTCTCCTCCTCCCACCCACCACCACAAATTTCACTCCCACCCACCACCGCCTCTCTCCTCCTTCCTCCTCCTCCCACCCACCCACCACCACACATCTCACTCCCACCCACCATCTCCTCCCCCCCTCCCCCCACCCACCCACCACGGCATACATCTCACTCCCACCCACCATCTCCTCCCCCCCTCCCCCCACCCACTCACCACGGCATACATCTCACTCCCACCCACCATCTCCTCCCCCCCTCCGCCCACCCACCACCACACATCTCACTCCCACCCACCATCTCCTCTCCCCACACCCACCACGGCATACATCTCACTCCCACCCACCATCTCCTCCCCCCCATCCACCCACCACGGCATGCATCTCACTACTCACCCACCATCTCCTCCCACCCACCTCACACCCATCACTCCCCTCCAACCGCGCACCCATCACCGCCGACGTCACACCGTCACACTCGCTAGCCCCAATCCACCACAACCACCCATCACTGCCACAACCACTCATCAACCACCCATCACTGCCACAACCACTCATCAACCACCCATCACTGCCACAACCACTCATCAACCACCCATCACTGCCACAACCACTCATCAACCACCCATCACTGTCACAACCACTCATCAACCACCCATCACTGCCACAACCACTCATCAACCACCCATCACTGCCACAACCACTCATCAAACACCCATCACTGCCACAACCACTCATCAACCACCCATCACTGCCACAACCACTCATCAACCACCCATCACTGCCACAATCCACCACAACCACCCATCACTGCCACAACCACTCATCAACCACTCATCACTGCCACAATCCACCACAACCACCCATCACTGCCACAACCACTCATCAACCACCCATCACTGCCACAACCACTCATCAACCACCCATCACTGCCACAACCACTCATCAACCACCCATCACTGCATCCCCGTGTGTCTCCCAGGTAACAACCTCGCTCTCTCTATCTAGCCCCAGGCTGGCGGGCGGCCCTCGCAAACCTACTGACCTACAAACCTACTGACCTACAAACCTACTGACCTACAAACCTACTGACCTACTGACCTACTTGCTGTACTGGCACGGGCCCTGCAGCCTTTGCGCGAACCCCAGCGGGCCGGGTGCCTTACCCTGGCACGCGCTTTGACAACTCCCATCTCAGCGTGACCCACCAACCCCGCCCCCAAAGCTGCGGAGCGAGGGTGACCCTGCACCATTTAAAATTGATCACGGCTGGAATTTCATCTGTGGTGTCTGCCCGACTCCCATGGGCTATTTAAGACTGCCTCCTCCCCACTCCTGCTCATCTGGAGGCGCCGCGGTGCCTAGGAGATGTTAACTACCTCGCCTGGTACACAGGAGGTCGTGGGTTCGATCCTGACCCTGACGATGCCTGCTGCTGTATATTTGGAGTTTGCGTGTCTCTCTCTCATCATCATCACGGTGGCTAGGAGATGTTAACTACCTCGCCTGGTACGCAGGAGGTCGTGGGTTCAATCCCAACCCTGACGCCTGCTGCTGCTGTATATTTTAAGTTTTGCATGTTTCTCTCTCCCCCACTCACCCGTGGTCGCGTTGTTTTTATCCGGGTCCTCCGGGTTGTCCCTCCACATTTAGAATCAAAGTGCGTTCAAAGTATTTGGCTGCTGTACATTCCACACGGCGATAAAGCCACTTCGCTAAGCTGTCAGTTTTGGGCAGGTCGCTTCTTAAAAAGAGCTACACAGATCAGTGGGCCTTACTTGATAAAAGCTATAATAATAATAATAATTTAAAAAATAAAACAATAACGTCGTGGCCAATCTAGAGTATTCTTGATCGAACAAATTCTGCCGAATAATATTGGTCTGATGATGATTTGATGCTTTCGTGACTGCATTAATCCATACTCTTTGGTCCACGTGGGTAGAGAATTCATAGGTCACGACGTTTCCATCACCTGAAGGCGGTCGCTTGTGTTGCGATCGCAACGATCGATTAATTTCCTATCGACGTGACTTTACCGAAAGGCTAAAAAGAGTAATATTGGTCTGGAAAGGCAATCGGCCAATGGATTTTTAAACTATTTGTTCTCATATGCAGAGACGCAGACGTGAGTGTCGCCTTACGTTGCCTTTAAAAAAAAAAGGTGGCGTTTTCCCATTTATATATATAAAACATGCAAATCCAGGCGTAGTCCGCTCTAAACAAATTAACCCAAGCGCTGAGACATCGTGGAAGAACGATCGACGCCCATGCTTCTCAAAACGAGCTCAGTGGGCCTTACCTGCTGAGATAAACAAAAAAATACCAATTTAGTTTCAGTTGTAATGCATTTCTTGATTTGAAGCTTTCGTGACTGCGGGAATCCATACTCTGTGGGTTCTTTCGTTAAAGTCACGTGGGTAGAAAAATAACAGATCACGTGACGTTTCGATCGCAACACACAAGCAATCATCATCAGGTGTGGCAACCACAGCAATTTGTTTTTTTTCTCGCTGTGGCTGTCCCACCCGATGGCGATTGCTTGCGTGTTGCGATCGAAACGTCACGTGATCTTTTATTTTTCGACCTATACATTGCTTGTTATTCCTCCTCCGTCGGCGATGATGTGGCCCCAAACGCTGGCACGATCTCGCCGCTCGTCGCCGATGCGTGCGGGCTTCCAGCCCACGCCGAGCGAGAAACCGCGGCGTGAACGATCGATGATGAGCGCGGAAGACGACCTGCCAGCTCGCTTCCCACGTGGGGCTTTAAACGATACCCGCGGAGGGGGGGGGGGTGGGGGGGGGTGACACTCGAGGCAGAGGAAGGTCCACGTGCATGCCAGGATGAATTACAATTTGGAATGATATCCTTGGTTCTTTCGGTAAAGTCACCACCACGTAGAACGGGAAACGATAAAATAAATAAAAATATATAAAACAATAAAATTATCGCGACGTTTCGACTGCAACACAAGCAATCATCATCAGGTGTGAAAACCACAGCAAGAAACATTTGAAAAAAGTGGCGGGTTTTTTTATTACCTTTTTTGGATGTCCTAATAAAAAAGAGACCTGATGGTTCAATGAGCCACTCTGTCTACAGAAAAGCTACCCATATGGATGCTTACCTGAAACCGGATTCCCACCACCATCCATCACAGAAGAATTCCCTCATCAAGACTCTGTACCATAGAGCCCAATGCATGTCCGACCAGGAACACATAGCCAGTGAACTCAAGCACGTACACCAAGCTCTTAAGGCTAATGGTTACTCCGACTACACAATCCGCAAAGCTATCACTCCAATCATTAAGAAGGACCCTCTTGAGGAGCCTTTCAAAACCATCACTTTACCCTACATTGCGGGGATCACAAAAAAGATCTCCAAAATCTTGAATAAACACAATATCCAGGTCCGATTCAACACATTACATATCCGTGATCTGGTTCCGTCTGTAAAAGATGTGATTCCGGACATACAGTACCCTGGCGTATACAAACTAAGTTGCCTCTGTTGTAGTAGTTACATTGGAGAAACCAAACGACATGTCTCGGACCGCATTCGTGAACACAAAGCAGACCTAAAACACGGTAGGACCAACACCTCGGCCGTGGCAGATCACTGTTATAATTCAGTAGGCTCACATGACATTGACTTCTCCAAGACAAAGGTTATTTGCAAGCCATCTGGCTACCATGAGAGATTCGTTCATGAGGCTATCCACATATACAAACACAGAGACAATTTCAACCGAGAAGATGGATTCTGGCTTAGCAATCATTGGAAGGATTTGATAAACCATTTCGGGTCTTAATTGATTGTTCACGCTTACGGTGGCTTTCAGACCGCATCCATTATTTTTCGTCTCCCCCCTCCTCTTTTCCGAACATAGATGGACTCGTCCATCTGAATAACTGTCAAATCGCTCTCCGTGGTGCTAACGTTAAAAAATAACCGTCACTTTTTTTCTAAATTTCTTGCTGTGGTCTTCACACCTGATGATGATTGCTTGTGTTGCAGTCGAAACGTCGTGAGAATTTTATTTTTTATATTTGTATTATTTTATTGTTTCCCTTCTACGTGGTGACTTTACCGAAAGAACCAAGAATATGAATCCCTGCAGTCACGAAAGCTTTAAATCAAAATTTGGAATGAGTTACAATTTGGAATGAATTACAATTTGGAATGAATTACAAAAGATGTTTTTAAACTGGAGGTGAGGGTATCACTGTCCGATTTCAGAGCTCTCATCATTGACATTGTTTTTAATGTTTTTTATTGTTCTGTTTTGTATTGTGTGTGTAAATGGTGATTCCTTTTTGCTGATTTCTTGCCAGGCATCCCTCGCCAAAGAGGTTTTTAACCTCAAGGGGTTTTTTTTTGTAACTTGGTTAAATAAATGTGAAATATAATAACCAGGTAAGGCCCCCACTGAGCTGTGTAACTCTTTTTCAGAAGCGACCAGGCCATCACAAATGATAGCGCAACCAAGTGGCTTGTCCTCACGTGGAAATGTACAGCAGACAAAAACTCTAAACGCGTGACGCTGATTTTAAATGCGTGAGCGAGAAAACCCGGAGGAGCCGGTGAAAAATCCACGCGACCGCGGGGAAAGAGACACCGCAAACTCCAAATATATACAGCAGCAGGCGTCAGTGTCCGGATCGAACCCACGACCTCCTGCATACCAGCCGAGGTTGTTAACATCTCGTAGCCACCGTGATGATGATGAGAAAGAGACACCGCAAACTCCAAATATATACAGCAGCAGGCGGCAGTGTCCGGATCGAACCCACGACCTCCTGCATACCAGGCGAGGTAGTTAACATCTCATAGCCACCGTGGCGCCCATACTGGATTATCAGCAACAAACCGATAGACAACATTGCCCCAAAGCAACATTTGATGATCAACAACAAACCGAAAAACGACATTGCCTCAAATCAACAATTATCAATCACAACCCGATAGCAACATTGCC